GAGGGGGAGGAGGAAGGAGTGAACGCGGGGCGCTCTCTTCAAAACGAGAGCCCAACACGACAGGATGGTTGGGGAAAAAACGTAACCTGGGGCCTCCTGGAGGCGGGAGGGCTGAAAAACGCTACCAGAAGACATATACCGATACAGAAAAATGCCTCCTGGGGACTCCTGGGAGCGGAGGGTCGAACAGCGCTCCCCGAATACACATCCGAATGAAGAAAATGACTCCTGGGGCCTCCTGGGGGCGGGAGGGCCGAAAAATGAGTCCCGAACATATACCCCTGGAGCGTCCTGGGACCTCCTGGGGCCCCCGAAAATAGCGGCAAAACTGCTCTTGCGGATTCCCCTGTGACGCTGAATTGCTCAAGCGAAACGGCCGTTCTGCCATCGGCGAATCGCAACACGAATGCCCTGAAGGACCCCCCTGCTGTGCTGAATTCGAACGAAGCCTCGAGCGAAAAGGCCATAACAATGATTTGGGGGACTCTGTCTTGATAACTCCCGCCATCCTGACCCTTGGCGCGCGAGGGAATGGGCCCGCCAACCGCCACCCCTGTTCCGTTCTCGGGAAGTCTGGCGACGAATTCCAAGCCGGCGCCCTCACGTGGGGCATCCTCAGAAAACAAGCACCCCGAGCCTCCCCAAGGAGGCCCTCAGAGCTCCCACTGTTCCGTTTCCAGGAAATGGGGGAAATGCGGCGACGCATTCCAAATCAGCGCCCTCGCCTGGGACATCCTCAGCAGACCGGCGCCCCGAGCCTCAGCAAGGAGGCCCTCAGACGCGCTCCGGGGCGCGCACCGGGCGTGACCCAGTCCGGGGCTCTTGCTCGAGACATCCTCTCAAGGTCGACCCCCGACGCACGAGAAAGTCAGGCCCCACAGCCCCCAAGGGACCATTTCCGGGGATCTGCCGGCGCGCGCCGGAGCGCAGTGGGCGTGTCCCAATCCAGGGCTCTCGCCCCAGACATCCTCCTAAAGTCGTGCTTTCACATCGCGAGTCTCACTCATGCGAGCCTCACCCTCCTCATCCTCACCCGCGACACCACCGCCTCTGTCTCATTCTCCTCTCGCCCACACGCACACGCACCGTCTTCTCTCCCTCTCTCTCTATACATAGGAACCCCCGACCAAGCGCAGCGCAGCCGGCCAGTGATTGTTTTATACTCAACATCCAACAGCAGGAGAAAAATCATCTTAAGACTTCGCCCTTCTGCTCGCATGTCATTCAACACGTATATTCCAAACCCAAGATACTCGCCCTCTTCGTCTTCGATAGTACCCCCTTAGGGGTGTATTTGTCTTACCTTCAACGTGTATTTCGTGCAGCCCCTAAGGCAGGGGAATAGAGGACGGATGGAAGGAAGGGACAACGGAGAGGGAGGAGGATGGAGCACGCGAGAGTAGCAGGAGGGGGCTAGGAGCAGAAAACACGTGGCAGAAGCAGACGGGCAGATCGGGCGGGTAGACTCTAACGGGCGGGTCGGGAAGGCGGGCCCAGGCGGCCAGGTCGAGCAGGCGGGTTGCTGAAGCGTGCGTCCTGCATGAATCGCGAGGAGGTCTCGAGCGATAGCGCGACTCCCAAAGAAACCGTGAGGGAATCAGCAGCGAGGGCGTGATTCCTGAGTGCTGAGGGCGCTGAACAAGTTGCGATGAAGTCCCACCCGAGAGCGCGATTCCTGTATACATTGTGACGAAGTCCCGCGCGAGCGCGCTTTTTTCCCAATGTATTGCGAAGAAGTCTCAGGCGGGAGCGCTTGTTGCAGTGACTCGGGGGCCAGGGGCCTTATTTGGTGACGCCTCACTTTAACTTTTGACAAACGGGGTGCGAGCCCCCGAGGAGCACTTTAATTAAAACATGCCATGGTTACCAGAGGGAGGATTAACAATAACTATTCTGTAGAAATGAGAACTCAACCATCATCTTACGACTGTTCGCTCTCATCTACTCGCGTGCCATTCAACACGTATATTTCCAACCCTCGGTACCCGTGCTCTTCGTCTTCGATCGTGCCCTCTCTCGGGGGTATATCTTCCCTACCTGCCGCGTGTAGTCGGCGCAGCCCCTACAACGGGGGAAGGAGGGGAGAAGTGAAGAGACCAGGGGGTTGGGAGAAGGATGGAGCACGAGAGCAAATTTGCAGGAGGGCCCGGGTCGAGCGGGCGGGGCGCTAAAGCGGCAACCCGTCATGAAGGAACTATTGAAACGCCAGGATCTCTGGGCCAGCGCAGGCGGGCTCCAGAGTCCTGCGTGGTCGGCCGAGAGGGGAGGAGGAGGAGGAGGAGGAGGAGGAGGAGGAGGAGGAGGAGGAGGAGCGCCCGTAGCCCAGAGAGGGGTCAGAGCTAGCCGCGCGACGGGGCAGCGGCGGAGTCAGTACTTCTTCCTGGTGTGGCCGGCACGGTCCATAGGACCCCGCCCCTGCGCCATGTGGACAGGGCACCGCTGGGCGTGCCAGGCAGCGCGCGGAGGAGGAGGAGGAGGAGGAGGTTGGAGCGTCTGGGGT